ATTTTTCTAGTAATATTTTAGTAACATTTTTATCCATCACAAATTTATCCTTTACCCTGTATCCTAACGACTTTTATCCTCTATCTTTACAACTTTTTGCCCACCTTTTTTTCTGTGTGATCTGATTTGTTAGCGAAGAATTAAAGAATGCGAATAGTTAATTTGTGCAAAACTGTTGTATTCCTTATACACAAATCTCAAGTTATTCGTCGTCGCGTGAGTCACTGTAAATTGCACCCTGCAACTTGCAAAAGACGACGTAGAACTTCTCCTAGCTTTCAGTGCGGTTATCCGAGCATAAAACCGTATCTGGCGTAAGAGTTGAGAACTAAAACGAAGTTACCTTTCGGCGGGACAGCAGTTGCGAAATAGGATTTTGTGGTAACCAGCAAAACCACCCAGTCTTCGTCACTGTCGACTCAGGGAGTCCCATGACGCTAGCTCTCGTAATGGACAGTGGACTCTCTCTCTCTCTCTGGCACATCCCTCGAGAGACTTGTAAAACTGAAATAATTATTATACTCGCTTGAGAATTGTCCGCGCGACATCCCAAAAGAATTGTTCTCTCCAAAAGTCAGGACATTCAGTCACATCCTCCATAATTAGAAATATCTAAAACTTAATATTTTTCCTCTCTTCTTTCCGTGGTATTTTAAATTTTTTCCATTACAATTTATTTAATTAACACGATTTAAATATATAGTATATAAATAATTCTAGAAACTAAAAGACATGATAACATATTTATAACAATATAGTAGAAATAAAACTAGGTTGATGCTTTATAATAGTTAGAATATCCAATAGATGTCTGCGTTTAATAATGAGGTGAATCTCGCTATAAATCGATAAATTTTATTAGCCTCCCTATGCTAATTAAAGAATAATTCATATAATACGTTTTGTCAAATCGTGCAGTAAAAAAAGTAATTGTTTCATAAATAAATTATTCATTGATAAAATTTATAAGGCAGTTAATTTTATAAAAATCAAAATTGTATCATGAAAGAAGTAAAAAAAATTCTCTAATTAGAAATACAGGATAATGTAAAATAAAATAGTAATTAAAAATTAATGTTGCCAAATTTACATATCAATGGAGATGGAAATATGCTGTAGATATATTCAAGAATAGAGAATAATTCAAAGTAATAATTAAAGTTGAATTAAGTGGGTATAAAATTAAATTTTACAAAAATACATTTAACCGCGTCAGACACTTCGAATAAAGGAACGTGTGGCATTTATAAATATAATTTCACATACCATTTACGTAGATACTATTATTAAAAAATATTTAACTTTCTTTATCGAATTTTTTTTGGAAAAATTAGTTGTAGGAAAATTCTTAGAAGAATCACGTGATGCCATAATATTGTGAAATTTCGATCAATCAATAGACACGGGTGATTGAACTTGTCACCAACTTAAAACTTCGTATAGAAGCTTCTGGAAAACTTCTTGGGTCCGATAGTCTTTTAAAAGTATAGTAAATAATTTTCAATTAAAAACGTTTCGAAATATAAAAAGATTTTTTTTCATTGAATTTGTATTTAAATTTCCCGTAGTGGAAAAATTTATTCTATAAAAAGAATTAAGAACAAAGACGATAATGTATTTAAAAATTTACAATGATTTTAAGATATAATTTATAAATGTATCCATTAGTAGCAAAAATCCTGTATGAATAATCAACTAATAATTTCTGTCAAAATCACATTATAATGAAAAATTTTTCTCTATTAAATTATTATCCATTCACAACCAATGTAATAATAATGAAATTCAACCCTCTTAAATTTAAACCCCTCAAAAGCATGACTGGATTTGACAGATATTAAAGAGTTTGTAAAACATCCACCATTTCTTTTAGTAAGTAGGGAAGAAATAGCCGGGACTAAAGAAAGGGAAGCGGAATATTATTACCACTATATATTCTGCTGCAGATCCCTTTTAGTACGTGTTCCGGTGTTCATGTGTCCAGAAAGTAACATTTATGAAAAATAACCGAGTAAACTTTTTAAATATGTATGAGTAAAATTTAAAATGTATTTATGTATAATATGAATACACATATTATTTAATTTACTATGTCATAAATATAAATAGATTTATATAATTTATTGATAAATTTTAGGAGACAAATTAAAACTTTGTCTTTTTAATTTAATTGGTTAAAATCAGTTTGACCGCTTATAAATAGTTGATTGATTATAAATTCGTTGATTAAATTTTAAGCGAGATTGGCGAAAACCGGACCTTAGTGAATGCTTGATTAAACAGTTAACTGTCGGCCTACAAACTTTATATTCATTAATGGTTTAAATGATATAGTGAATTGTTTAAATTACATTGTATTTGTATTGTGAATTCAATATTGGAAGAAATTTTGAAATAGTTTACTTGGATGGAATTATTTTTTTTGTTTGGGAATATTGGGTTGTGAACCATTCCCTGGATTTTATATAGCCTTCAAATCAAAGGGAAAGGAGAATATGACTAAAATTTTAATTTGATTGGCAAATTTTTATTCAATTAGTAACCATCGCAATGTATTAAAATTGAGATGATTGGGAAACCCTTTTTTTGGGCAACTCATAAAGGTAATTTTTATGCGTCCCAATTTCTCCAGCCTATCCGCCTCCTCTGGTTTGGTGACTAAAATCTCGAGTTTCATTCCTTGTCGTTTGGATCCTAGGACCGTTACTTTCCTGCTTCTTGGATTCTGGAGGACTTTGGTTTCCTGTTGGACCTCTTCTTCCTGGGTAAGGCAATCCAGGTCGCAGATCTCTAGCGTGACCTGTCGATCCAGGTCTGCACCTTCCTCATGCTTCCAACCGCTTTGGTGACCTCAGCAGTGAATGCCTCCTTATTGGAGTCTTCTCCGATTTTGATCAGGAGATCTCCCTTTCTTGTAGGCCTTGCACCCACAATCTGCGTGTGTCTGACGTCCGGATTCACTTCCCTCCGAAGTTTGCTCGCCAACAAGGTTGCTATCTCCATTATGAGGGCGTGTTATGCGTATCTGCTATTCCCATTAGGATTATAGTAATTCCCATAAGTGTTTTGATAATCTACAGCTCGTAGTCTATTCCTTCTGGTTGTTTGTTATTAACAATTGTTAAAATCCCAAGACCAGAAACACCAATTCTAGGCTTAATAAATTGCTCCCTAGCTTCTGTTTCAGCTAATTTATCTGCCCCTGAATCCACTGTCAAGGATCCAGAAGAAAATGATGGTCCTACTTTCAATCTTGAGTTCCTCTTGGAAATCTCCAATTAACAAATACGAATTTCCCTATCTTCTAGAACCTCATAAGCATCGCAATAATTTCAGATTTAAAGATAGTAGCTGTGGATCATTTTCCCCAAAAGGATTGGTTATGAGATGGGTAAATAGTTAACGGTTTTAATTGAAGAATTAATAGATTATAAAGTTCGAGGGGTTAAAAGTTAGAAGTCGTCGGGATTATTCATGGGGTTTAATATTTAATTACTGACTTACGTTAGAAGTTCTAAGAGTTAGAGGCACTTTATAAATTATTTAAACCCGCAACTTGATTTAGTTAACAATTTCTAGAGTACAGAGCTTTCATATGAGTATAGTCCGGCAGGTACAAGAACCTCTTGCAACTATTCGTGATGGATGATTCAATTAGAACTAAATACCAATTTTTGCAACTCTGGATTCCAAATAAGAATATGGAAGTGAATCAATTTTTTTCTAATTGTTATCAGAAAGTACACAAATATGTGGATTTTTATAATCTGTTTTATTTTTAAATTATTCTAAAAGATTACGATTTAAAATCATTTTTTAAATTAATTTCAGAATTAGAGAAGATTAAACTATAACAAATTCATCACTGCAAAAGATATATAATTGTTTGTAATTTATTTGTAAAAGCCTTTAAAAGTGATTTTCTATAATGTGAAACAAGTTGTTGGGGAAAATAAATTAAAGTTCGGATAGGATTAGTTGTCTTTATTAGATTGGTTGATCCTGTCGATTTCAGGGACGATTGCAACATGTAATTACCGCTCGATACACATACAAGTGTGTAAAGCAATTGTCGTTAAAATTGTGTTCAGCGAGGTATTGTTTCGCCGCGCGTAGTGCATTGGATATCGTGGCGCAAAAACGAGGCAGATTTCAACGCGTATGTACTCGCGATATGTACATGCTAAAACGACAGATGGAACGAGGTTTGCCTATTTTCCTCCAACACTATATTATATGGAGACTAAAACCACCATGTAATCGGAAAGCAAAAAACAATTCACCACTATACTCTACAAAACATGAGCTAAAAGCATGAATCCACTAAACTAGTGTGCCTTGTAATATCAATACCCCTATGGGACGGTTCGCCAAACATGAAATTTAAAAATCATCAATTTTTGGTAATTCTAATAAAGTTTGATAGTAAAATAAAAATAATTATTTTCTTTGTTGTGTTAACAATGTTTTGGTGGAAATAAAATATATTTGTTCACAATTTATCAAAAAAAATCTGTGTAATTTTCCGAAAAAGTCATTTTAGTTAATTAAAAGATTTAATTTCAAAAACATGGTTGTCTTGTTTGACAAAAAATATAACAATGTAATATAAAAAGTGAAATTTTATTTAATTGCATTTTATTCAGTTCTTTTTATAAAAATATTTCCACAAAACATAATTAGAAATCTGAACCAACGAAAAAAAAAAACATAATCCCTTTTATATATATCTCATAAACCAAACTATTATTTTGCGCAGTCCATTTTTCTAATTAAAATGAAAATTACCGCCTATATAATTTCTTGACCTGTTTTTTCTCATTTAACTTTTCATTCCGTGCATTCTTGTATTTTACCATTTCGAAAAGTTTCGTTATAGTTAGAAAATTAAAAACTAACGGATAATTATTCAAAAAAGATTTTTAAATCGTTTTTTCGATTCTTAATTTTATACTTTTTTTTAGAATTTTTAAAAATAATAATTTTTTTTTTTTTTGCAGGTGGTTCAACAAATTCTCTGAGGAACTTTCGCACGGATTTTTTAGAAGAATGGCCTACACCTGGCACTGGTCCCCATTTCGACATTGTGATGCCGTCAAATTTCACTGGATTAGTGGGACAAACTGTTCATCTTGTTTGCAAAGTGAAAAATTTAGGAAATCGAACGGTAAATACAAAATTTTATAATAATTAACATTTCCCTAATAACACAAGATATCTTGAGATATATTGATAATATCCCGCAGATATCCTAGGGATGTCCTATGGATATCAAAAGGATCTCTTAAGGATATCCAAAAAATCGGCGGTTTTGATATCCTTTGGATATCCCATGAATATCTGAGGATATCTTTTGGATATCCCATGGATATCTGAGGATATCCACAGGATATCTTCTGGATATCTCTATAGACTTTCATAAATGTCCTCCAGATATCCCATGAATATCCTGAGGATATCCCATGGATATCCTGCGATATAATATCCAATAGATATTTTGTGGATGTCTTAGGGATATCCTGTGGATATCCTATGGATGTCCTGTTGATGTCCCACAGACCGGCGGTTTGGATATCCTAGGGATATCCTGGGGACCATTCTAGGATATCGACCATTGATATGGATATCCTATGGATATCCTAGGGATATCCTTTTGTTATGAGGGTTTAGTTGACAAAGTAAGTCAAATTCCACTTGCGGAAATAAGGAACAAAACCAATAATTTTTTTAACTGAAAAATGTGTTACAAATAATGGTATAAGAATTAACTTCTAAAAGTAAGAAACTCAAATAAGGCTTTTGTAATTAAACTGTCGCAATCGGCTTTTACTAATTTGTTTTGCAAACTCTGTTATTATCAAAGAACTTGAAGGAAACAACTTTGACGAGTAATCTGCAACTAATAAAGAATCTCATATTCTACTTTTCCTTCTTTGCTCGTCTTTTATATATATATATTTATAAAAAAGAAATCTGTATATCGATTTTGATATAAAGAAAATAGAGGAAGAAGACAGAAATTGGAACTAAATTCCAATTCGAGTTCCTTAGGTAAAAAAAATTCTAGACATTTTAAAACTTTTTTATTTTTTTCTTCATTATGTTAAATAACAGAAAAAAACTATTTTCTTCAGCAAAAATTCAATGAGCATTTTATTTTTGGCATATTTTAAATTTTTCATTTTTTACTGAAAACACATTGTATTTTTTCCATGAGAAATTTGATGAAACATATCATAAAATTTTACAAGAATAGTTTATAACATTGTAAAAAAAAAGGAAGTAAGAATCTGTAGTATTTTCATACAAAGAGGTAATATATTTTTCAGGTAGAAACCAAACGCGATTGAATGTGTGTGTGTGGATCCAAGTTTGACGTATTTTTATCGAAATCGAAAAGCTCGAAGCTTGAATGTTACTCACGTAGGTTACATCTACCATGAAATTGTAAAGCTGAGGTCTTGAATTTTTATTGACACCATCCCTACTATCTTCACAAAGAGTTAACTTCAATCAGGACAGTATTTACTGTCACTGACTTCTTTTTTGTGGGAAATTCATTTGAAAAAAAAAAGCCACAGAGAATTCGACACGAGAGACGTGTTTCGTTGAAGACAGCCATCAAAATTTTCAATGCGCGTCATTCAAAACTATGTTTATATATATTTCTCCTGAAGAAATGACAATAATTTTAAAATTATATAATATAAAATTTGAAATTTCTTTTTTATACTTTTAAGAAAACAATTTGCAGAGTTGGATTAATTTAAATTGTGTACAATAAATGTGAGGGATCTCTTATACAAACTACTTCTCAAGTTCCAAAGAATTGGAACCGATAACAAATCGTTCGCATTTCACATGAGAAAAGGAGCGATTCAACAAGAAACTTTCAAGGATCAAATGTCGAAAACGATGTTTGCGATAAATGGAAACTGCTCAAACTTTAAGCAATCGAAGCCCATTATGTGCAAGCGGATTTGCTTTTAACAACAGATATCCGGATACGAACATGAGATTATATAATACAAGATTTTTTTTTTTTATATTTTATTTAAGAAGATTTATTTAAGAAATGATTTCAAATTTGTATTTCAATTTAATTTAATGAATTTTTTATGGAAATTAAATTAGTAAAATAAATTAAGATATATATATATAATCTAATCTGATGCGAGTCTAATTCGGAGTTCCCTTTAACGGGAGTTGGCATCTAATTTACGACTTAGGTGTCAACTCCCGTTGGACATGACCTCCAGTTAATTTGCAAATAGTCAGCCTATTTAGAGACTTGTCCTTCTCCAGAAGTCAAGAATTAATAATTCTAATTTATTAGTTCTAATCTAATTCTAACAAATAGGTAATATATTCTGATTCTAACAATATCTAACACATTGCTATTTATCAATGAACAACATCTAAATTCTAATCAAGCGATTTTGTTATTTTAAATTATTGTGAATACAAATAAATTATTTTTTTATTCTTTGGAATATTTTCGATTTTCCAGAGCGTAACAGTGACGAATGTGATTTTACCCCTATGTGATTGAATTACCGTGCAGACTTTCACATTGTTTGACGAGGGACATCTCATATGGGAATTTGTTCAGCATGAAGAAGACTTTCCTGTAATTGATTTTCAACCAACTTGGTGTACTGAATTTTCGCCTTATTTCTCCCTCGACAACTCTTCGTCAAGTGTTATTTTATATTATCTTCTAAATTTACAGTTAGATTTTAATTTAAATAAAAAAAAAATTGTTAACTTATTCTCAATTTATTATTCGGGATTTACAATCACCGAATTGTCATCGTATGAAATAGAGATCGTAAATTATATTTTCAAAAATGAAATTGAAACTCAAAAAGATAATTCAATTTTAACTTGATGGATAATTTAACGGAATTTATTGCTTGAACTTTATTTGGATAAATAATAATTGAAAATATATTATTAGTTTCGATAATATATTTTAACAATAGAATTTAAATACTGAAATTTAATTTTGCATCTGTGAATTCTTCTCCCGTGACGAAAATTCGTATGTCCTCAAAAAGAATATTATCTCGACGATCGTGAAATTATTAATAACGAAACAAATCTACGAATCCAAATAACTCACAAGGCTGAAATCCCTTAATAGAGGGAGACGGAGAAATTTCCGAGGAAGGGGAAATCAAAGAAAACTAAGAGGAACGGCAAAGCCGGTAGAGCAGTGACCTTCGAAAGGAACGACAGGAACGAAATAAATATTTAAAAGTTTAAAACGATGGGAAAACATATAATTTCGAAAATTAAGTATCGTATCGCAATTAATTAAAAGTCAAGAATTTAATTAGATTAGATTATAATTTAATATGATTAGATAATTAATAGTAATAATTAATGAAAATAAAAATTAATAGTATAATTAATTATATTAATTATAATTAATAATATAATAATTATAAATCAATAATTAGAATTAGATTAGAAATTAGAATGAGAAATTATTGATTAGAAACGTATGTTTCTAATTAATCTAATTAATTAATTATATAAATTAATGTTTCGAGAATTAAAAGAAGACTCATATAGTGATTGACAAACTGGGCTTTTGAATATCCACGTGATGGGTAAATTTGACATTACTCACTTGGTGAGTGTTTTGACTACAAAGAAATGAATCTGATGAACATCGTATTAATTAAAGATCATATAGAAATCACCAATTAACAACCTCTGATAACAGCAATGAAGTCGTATTTGATATAAAATCGTTATTCAAAGAACTATTTGGAAATTATATTTATATAAAATTAAATAAAAAATTCGTGTCCTACGATTAACAATAAAGTTTTTTTTGCAAAGGGATTCAAAAATTTTGTGGAAAAGATTATAGAGTAGCTGTTTATTCTGTATTCGGGAAATAATTGATTAGAATTAAATTAGAAATTAGAATTAGAAACGTTCAATATGTCACGTTAGGACAACTTGCATTTGTGATTAACATCAAAGGGAACGGAATTATAAACTTTGGGAGATCACTAATTTTTGAATAAATTAGATAAATTAAATATTTCTCTGAATTGTTTTCTATCAAAATTTTTTTGTTTAATTTTCGATTAAAATTTTTAATAAATTGTTTTGGTATGCAAATTTATTTTTCCGCATAATTAAATATATAAATTCCTTACACATTTCCGGAAGGTGTAATAATAATCTTGAAACGAGTTTTGAATTTCACTCTCTTGACCATTCTATACCTTGCGATACTAAATTACCAAAATGGACAATATGAATTTTGAAAGCCTGGTGTATTTTCCACAGGTGCTTCATCTAATCTGTGCTTTGAGTCCTCTCATAGTAAGATCATCTTTCTTCACATTAACACAGAAATTCCAAATTAGGATATAATTTTTATTGTTTTAAAAATACCAAACAATTTATCATTCCGTTTACTAAAAGATATCCCCAAGGGAGAAATTCATGTTTGATTATCTTCTGTTTTTACTGGTTGGACATTCTGATTTTGCCTCATTTATTATTTGGATCATTTCCAAATATTTTCATAATGATTAAATCACCTTTTGATGATTTTATCTTGCCTCTGGGAATTAATTAATTGTATCATTTTCCAGATTTGCCTTTACTAATCAGCTTCTTTTTACATGTAAAATTTATTTCAGAACAAAATATTCCGCTTTTTGAAGATGTCTCTTTTGAATCCGTAAAAATTCTACTTGTTCAATTCAAGAAATTCTACATTGATTTATGAATTAAATCCTTTTTTTCCTAATTCGTAATAAATCCCTGTTATTAACTTACTCTATGTTCTAGATATAAATTCATATCGTAGGTCAATTTAGTAGAATTAAACTATGAATTATTAGTATCTACTATAATTTAATTGTTGACTCTATTGTTTCTATTATTCATCTTATTTTTCCATATTAATTATCCGAATAGTTATCAAAGATTACTCCGTTCACTTAGAACTCAATCATCAGGAGCTTAAGTGGTAATTTCTTCCTTTTAGGCCGTTGAATTCTTACCTCTTTTTTGGAGGGCGCGTGAAATCTTAAGTCTCACCAAGACAGGAGAAGGACGCGTCGAAGGACGAAAGACAAATTAAACGTTCCGAACTCAGTTAAGTACGTTGAAGTGGGGTTTATCTTCGTCGCA